TAATAAAAATAAAAAAAAGAGAAAAAGAAACCTAGAAGAGTACCTTAGAGAAAGGTAAATGCAAACTGAAAAGCACCAGAGTACATGATGTGCCCTTCCACAGTCATTAGTTAATCCTCCTTTCCTCTGTTCCTAGCCCATTCAGGATTTGGGGATCCCATAGCTCTGCTAGCACTCAGGAGAGCACAGCTTCAGGGGCTATCACAGTATCAAATTCTGCCATGTGTTTAAAAGCTTTCTCTGCTCAGGTCTTCTGTGAGTTCTTTTGTGGAGTGTGAAGATCATTAAATGCAGGAATTACAGCAAAAAGGGTACTCTGGGAGGTTATCTATTTGGCCTCACTGCTATCTCTCCAATCTCTGACTGCAAGGATCTTTTACAAAGTGCAAAGCATAGGGAACCAGTGGGCTTACCAGTTCTGCACCTGACACCTGGAAGAAACCCACTACAGTCCTTGGCAAGTGAAAATAAGCATGACTAGCAAGCTGAGAGTCTGCCCTTAAGACTTTTACCATTAAAAGCTGCAAATGGAAAAGGACTTTAAGCATGTCTGAAGCACATGAGAAGTTGTAGTCCCTTATTATGATTGAGATTCAATTATAATCAGATTTAATAAGGATATAGCACTCTCAGAGCTAACAAAGTATTGAGCAAATAAGAATTTACAAAACAACTTTTATGAAATTAAGCCACAAATAACCCTTTGATCTGTACAAACTTTTATAATACTGATAATGCTACTTATAATAGCTTAATATTGGCCCTTGGCTATGGGGTTGTGATTTAGTCTGAGCCACATAGATTTGAAGATACTTCTGAAGTGTTGAATAAAAAATAGTTTCTTACAGAGTGTTCTCTTGACAAATCCTTCCTGCAAAACATATTTTACTTTCTTATAATAGCATGTGGACTGTGTTATCCTTGATGATGGTGGATTTCTTTTGATGTCAAATCGGGATGAATATACACAACAGGTATGTGTTTTTTTAAGTACAGTACATGAAACAAGATAGGGAGAAGTTTTATGAGAAAAAAATAGCATTTCACTCTCAGCTCACCCTAAGAATATAATCTTTCTTTTATTTTTGTATATCATGCCTATCAGAGTTTGAAAGAATGGGTCAGAAATTGAAAAACATTTCTGAATCACAAAAAAATTGCCATATCAGAAATTCCAGTTATTTTTCACAGACTTATTTATGGTTCAAGATGCCAGACCTCTACCAAGTTGCATTCTTTGTGCTCTGCCCTTAGGCTGGTAGGCTGCTGATGGACCCATGATGGTGAGGGCAAGTAGTATGGTGTCCATACACTTCCTTTCTCGTATTCCTCTTGTTCTTTCCCAAGCAGGGTGGTCTCATTGATAGTGTATTTACTGTGTAACTGGAGTTCTCCAAACAAGCTTTTAGGAGAGAAATAGTCAAACAAAGAAATAAATACATAAGCAGCAAGACTGGATGAATTGTGTAGAGGAAAAAATGGGGCGGGGTGGGAGAGAAGTCAGAACTGTTCACTTTTTTATGAGAAAAATACTTGGGAATACTTTAACTTATCTCCAGATATTCTCCTTCATCAGATTGGAAGATTCTTTGGTGAAATTGATCCTGGCCTGATGCGAAACCTGATCAACATGTCCCTGTATGCCTTTAACAAGTCGTATGACTATCAATCGGTCTGTGATCCTGAAGAAGAACCAAAGCAAGGAGCTGGACTTCGTTCTGCTTATGTGGTCAGTAGTCCCTTGTGCTTTGACTGACATTCCCTTAAAAGTCTGCAGGTGTTTATACAAATAACGTAATCTCTGTTGTTTTTTTCCCCAGCCTACGATAACAGATATTTTGCATCTAGGATGGTGGGCTTCGGCAGCTGCCTGGTACGTGCAAGTGTGTAGGAAATCTGTATGTCCAAACTAGAATTATTCAGTAGGTTGAGACTGCTCAGTCTTCCCCTCCCCTCCCCTCCATAAAACTGCTCTGAACCTTTGTTTCTGCAGTTTCTCATGGTGAAAATTCTTAGCTATGTCTCCAAACTCCTTGGAGAATTTAAAACTACTCTTGTAGTAATCTTGTTTTATGATTGTGTGTTCTGACTCTACAAAACCCGCTTTGGGAAGCAGAGTTGGGATTAATGGTCTAAGTCTGATTGACAGGTGTGAAGGTTCAGATGAAATTATTACATTTAGAATTATTGATCACTTGGTTCCCTGTTTCAGAATATCATCTCTCCCTTTTTCTAGCAAGACGGCTTAAGAAAATCAATGTTTGTTGTTCAGTGAATCATTTTACAAAACTGCATGAAGCTTCTCCATTACAAAATGTAAAGAAGTCTTGCTTCAGACTGCAGGATAACCAATATGTTATCTGATGGCACAGTTCAGTTAAAGGTTCTCACGATAGTTATTAGTTGGTTCCTTGAAACAGAATGTGAAAAGCCCTACTGAACTATTTCAAGGAAGCAAGTATATATAAAGCATTTTTGATAATTCTATAGTCATTGTCCTAGCATTTTCTACACCTGTGGGGAAAAGTTGTTATATTTGGACTGTTGCGGAGTTTTGGGACAGACCTTGAGAGGCAGGATTGCACCAGTAATTAAGTTTATCTTTCACAATCAGAATACTGGATACGTTTTAAAACTAAAGATCCTTTTAGGAGCTTTCTTTTCTTTTGGCTTTGGTTTGTGCATTATTCTAATAGCCACAGAAACAATTTTACCTATTTCAGAGCCATGTAGATAAACACCCCTATCAGCTACGTCCTCCAGCACCACATTGGGATAAGTAATTGGGACTGATGTGATAGTTTTGCATTGGTGTGATTGCACCCTTGGAAACTGTTCCTTTTTCTAAAGTTTCATGATGCTTATTTTTTTTGTAATAATTATCAAGCTGGAATAAATTACCTACCTTATGAAGCTGAGAGTTAAAATATATAGCAGCTGAACAAACATATAATCATTTTCTCATGGATAGCACTGTGAAGATTGTATGTTGGTTTTTATTGTTGGTTACATTTGCAACAGCAAAAATCTCAGTTTTCTTGGACAACAGCAAACCTCAAAAACTGGAGATGGGCAATAATCCAGAAGAGAAACTTGAGCTCTTCTCAAACAGAGAAACTTTAGTTTATCAGTGTTCAAATCAGACTCAGTGGTCTGGACTCAATTTAGACCTGAGGTTTATTTTGTGGGATGTTTAACTTGAAAGCACCACTTGAAAGTACTTTCTATGGACATGTTTTTAATGGAATCTAGGTCAGAAGCAGGCAGAGAAGGCCATTAAGCAAGCAGAGTGAAAAGGGCTCACCAAAAATGGATTCAGTGAGGCACCTGGCAAAAGGAAATGCAGGGAAATAAGAGAAACCAGGTTATTAAAGAAAACTATAGTGTTTCAGGCAACAATGTGGGATAAAGGTGCAAGTGATAATTTTCAAAATTTATAAACATTTAGTTAAAAGAGTACGTATGGTTTCTCCTTCATGCTCTTTTAACTCAGAAGATTTTACAGTTCTCCCAGGCTGCCTTTTTCACTCTGTTCCCTGTAAATTCTGTGGTAAGCCTGTATGAAGGATTACTATTTTCTGTCAGCAAATTTCATCACTGTTGAATGGCATCAGGTCTCTTCTCATCCATGATGGTTGGTGTGCTGTCCATCTGATGATTCAAGGCACAAAGCTGTGGATGTGAATCCAGAGGTCCTTCAGGCAGTGCCTCCACTGGAAAGGTGGCAGGCAGATTCAGTCTCTTTACACATGGATCGCACTGGATAAGGAGAAGAGGAAAAAAAATCTTGGAGGTTGAATAAAATTACACAGTCCCTTCTCTCTGCAGAACAAGTGTTAGAACAGAACGAGATGAGGAGAGGTCAGGTCATATTTGTACGTAGAAGCAAACCTAAAACATGATGACAGGGAACTACAACTTAGGAAGGTTTAAGCAGAAGCAGGGAGTCAAGGAATGGAACTGTTGCGATTCCTATTTTGACAGGTTGGTAGAGGACAAGGGGGCTGTGCATGTGGCAAGCTGGTACTTGCTTCAAGTAAATAAAGTAGGAAAAATATGTGAAGAAAAATAATCTGAAATAAATGGAGTTCTTTAAGCCCAAGTGTTTCGGCAGCATCTAGGAGGAAAATATATTCCATACCGCAAGAGCAGGAATAGAGATGATTTTAAAAGTCCACTGCTACAGTAATGATTTTTATGATATACTTGTAATATTCCAGTGTTTGTCTCTTTCTCAGCAATTTAATGAACCTTAATCAGTGTCAAGTATGTAATTCAGGAGCATTTTCCCTGAGTGTGTTCAAAAGGAGTTCTGGTTGGTTTAAGTGTTAGAGGAATGCCAACATGCCTCTTCCACCTCCCACAGAGGTATAAAAGGAGGACATGGATGGCATAATAACATTTCCATTTTGTGAGTTATGGGCACAAATGATAGCAAATCTCAACAGCAGAATAACAGATTAGTGTGAAAGAAGATCGGGGAGAAAGTGTGAAAAGAAAAACAGAGTCAAACTGTAAGGTTTAAAGAAACACAGCTTTAATAACTGGTAAAAGTTAATAAGCCATAATGATTTTGTTGTTAGTAACTCTTATTTGAGTAGTTTTTAAGGATCCATTAAAATACAAAGAAGATAAAGAGCCTTTAATAAATATGCATTGTCTTTCTATGTTCAGGTCTATCTTACAGCAGCTGTTTTTGAGCTTGACTTTTCCACGTTTCCTTGAAGCAGGTAAGTCAAGAGAATGTTAAAGAGTCAACTTTGAGTGAAGTAGCAGGTAAGAATCTAGGCTGGGGGCCATATTTGGATCTCCCCATTGCGTCTGTGACTTTAAAATGTCATTGTTTATTTATTTATTTTCTTCTTTCTGTCAGCTGATATGGAAGATGATGATTTCAGTGCCGCCCTGCCTAAAACAAGCTGTATCACTGAGCAAACTCAGTATTTCTTTGAAAATGACGATAAATCCTTTGGTGGGATAGTAGACTGTATAAACTGCTCCAGGTAAAATTTCTTCAATATAAATAACAACTTTTGGATATTCATTTATTTTACAAAAGATAATGACACTGTTATAAGAGAAAAATATATTTTGGAATGCTTACACCAAACTTACATAAGCAAGACAAAGAAGTATACAGGCAGTAAAACGATGAATTGCATACTCTTTGTATTTCTTTAGAATTTAAAGAATTATAGACATATTTTAGTCAAGTGTTTGTTTTATAATCTGTATATGCTCCATGAAAATTGTATTTCTATCTCTGTTACAATTTGTTTTCTTTTAATTTACTATGTGAACTTAAAGGTGTTCTGCAATATTCAGAAGGAGATAATTTTCTTTAATCTGGTTATGTATTGGAATTTTTAATGGTCAACAAGATTATGCAATTTATCTTCAAATTTACCTTCTAGACAATAGTGCTCATGATTTAAGAGCTGTGGCTCTTATTAAGCAAACCAAGCTGGTTTCTTTTGTGATTAAAAGAATTACTCTTCAGGCTCCACGTGCCTGTTCAAGATGACGTTTACTGTTATGTTAAAAAAATTGGATACTCAAGAAACATAGCAACTTGGACCTAGTTCTGTGTTTTATACAAAAGCCTGCTGGGTTGAAAGTTTGTATACATTAGGAGCTTCTGAAAATGTCTTAGAAATTAAAATTAACAGCCAGATTTCAAACTCCTTGAAGACAATATTTCAAGCCAAGAAAGAAAGATAGAGGACATTGGAGAATGTGAATACACCCAAAACACGCAGACTTTTTTGCCACTTCCATACTTCCTCCACCATGCTGCTAGTATGGGCTTGCGTGGTACCTTGTTGTGCAGAGAATTCATTAAGCTGGGTTTTTTGGTTTTGGTTATTGTAGGGTTTTTTGGTTTGGTTTTTGGTTGTGTTTTTTTTTAATCTGGAGAGTTTTCAGAGAGTTCTTTAGTTCAGTTTACTTAGCAACAACCACAGAAATTATTATGCTAATATTGCAAAAATAGTGCCACAGTGTGGGGATGAGTATGAAAGGACAATTTAAGCTGGTTAAAACAACCAGATGTGTAATCACAACATCAGTTATTTAATTAACAGGTATTTTGTCCTCCTATTGTACCAAATCAATGGTACAAACACATCATCTGTGGAGTTTCAGAAGTAATCCAATCAATTCACACCTAAGTAATAAAACTCTGCTTATATAGAGTGGTAAACACCTATATGAAAAGACTTGCTTGCTATTTTATATGTGTATGAAAATGTATTTAGAATTCACTAAAAGCAATTAACCTGTTAGTTTGTCCTGAATTTACCTCTTTGCCAGGCAGAGTATATTTCATTAATGACTAAGAAATATTAAGATTATTTTCTCTGCTTTTTTGAAGGTCTGTCTGCCTTTTCAGTAACTTTAAACTGTACATGAAAATTACCTTTGAAAAATCCAGAAATAACCTTACCTTCAATATGTAAGGCATGAAGTGTAGTATCTATAGCTTAAAGGTATAATGCTACCTATTCAATTATTTATAAATTGAGAATGACCCTACTAACTTAAAGGCCTTTTGTGGAATTATATGTACATAAAAATACAGCAAATACACTTCCAGTACACAGCACGCATACCTTAAACCTCTTTTTCACCTTTCTTACAGACAAGTTTAGTGCTGGGGTTTTGTTTATTTGTTTGTTTTTGTGTTTGGGAGTTTTCTCAGTCTTGCTAGGGGAAGAATTGATGCTGAATTGATTTTATTTCTCAGTACAGCTACTGTTGTAGCAGTACAGAGCTAGCTATTAACACAATTAAGGTCATTTTATGCTCTTTTCCATTTTTTCCACTAATAAGTGTAGTTGAAAAGGGGAACCATGGAAATGTCGAAAAGATTACAAAATTTGTGATAAATGTTTCTTGCTGTTCATTAATGGAAAAGATAAACAGTAGCAGGCAGACTGAATCTGTGAAGTTGGATTACTTTTATTCCAATACCGTGTGTCCTTCTCAAATACAGATTTCCTTGCTTCATTTAAACATAGGTTTTTGTTGGCTTTTTTTCCAGACTTTATCATGCAGAGAAGATTTCAAACACCAATCTAGTATTCATTATTAGTGACAGCCAACTGCTGTGCCGCTCCTGTGACCCAAAGCCACTGATGCAAGCAGAGAAGCCGGGTATCCTTTAAAATCATGTTATTTAGTAGTGTGGATTGATTTTTGGCTATGATATACTGGAATATAGTTGGAAAAAAATGGCCTATTTATGTACATATTAGTAGCATGGTTGCCATTGGAGTACTTGAAGCAACAGATATTTGTGGATGATATCACAAATCATCTGAGGAAGCAGTCACTGAGGTAGAGAGCAAAGCTGTTATCTGTGAGGACCTAAACGGAAATGGGCTCACAGGAACTTAATGAAGTTTCCAAAAGGCAGATGCAAAGTTTTGGATCCAGGACGGAATAATGACATGCAGCTGGACAGGCTCGGGGTGGAGTGACTAGAAACAGCTTTGCAGAAGAGGACTTGAGGATCATGACAGACGAGAAGTTGAACATCAGTTGGTGCTGTGCCTTGCAATAAAGAGGGCCAGTCACATCCTGGGCTATGTCAGCAAGAGTGTAGTCAGCAGGTTAGGAGAATTGATCCATCCCGTCTCTTCAGCACTAGTGTGACCACATCTGGAGTGCTCTGTACAGTTTGGGGCACCCCAGTACCACACTGACATACTGGAGGAAGTCCAGTGAAGGGCCACCAATGTGGTTGGCATCTGGAGCACAGGACCCGCAAGGGGAGCCTGAGAGTCCTGGGTTTGTTTAGCCTGTAGGAAAGACAAGGGTATGCCTGTCTAGAGAAATAACAAAAAAGGGCAACACCAATTTAAGGGTATTTGGTCATGAAATCTTGGGATGCTGCACTGATGCCTGCAACACTGAGGTGAAGTGATGGAGGCACTTTAGTGTGTGCTCAGTGCCAATGACACCTGCTTACTTCTTGTGGAAAGTGCTTTAATCATCAAAGGCTAGAGTTTATGCAGCTGCTAGTATAGAATTTCTTAAGAGCTGGCTGGAGACATAGGTGGCATACGTGCTAAGCAGAGTCCTTGCAACACATGCATTAAAATTAAAAGCATGTGAAAGGTTGTTCTAATTTACAACCACCTTCATGCTAATCTCTATGCCTTTAGCCTGTTCACTCCAGTAGATACCTGTAGGTGATGGTAATGGAAATATATAAAACCAACATACACATATTCTAGGCCAGGAGAAATTCATCTCAATTTTTCTCTGCTATATATGCTTGAGGATAGTATGCCAGAGATGGTAAATCAAATCATAATTTGGATTATTATGACAGAATATGGAAAACAATTAGTAATACCTTTGTCCATGTCAGGAAGTTAGTGGAGACAGCCTCTCCCATTCATGAAACAAAAGCAGATGGTGGTAGAGATGATTGTGTTTCTTTGGCACAAGCAATATGTTCATTGCCACATTAATAAAACTGGAATTCCATCTACGCTTGGGCTGAAAAGGAAGTTACATTGGGGTGGAAGCAATATCCATGTCATCACAGAACTATGTAAACACAGCCTAATATTCTAATTGGCTCCAGTCCATGGCAATTTGATTAACTGTTGCCACTGTCTGAATTTATAGACAGCAATCGCTGTAGAAAATGAAGCACGTTTGATGGGAAATGGGCACATGACTTGCATTTCCCTGTGGGGCCCGAGCCTTCTAGAAAGCAGTAAATGACCTCAAATGGTAGCCAGAGCAGCTGGGTGGGCTTGTATTGACTAAATGAACTATTTTATTTTTGTTCCAACTGTGCAGTACTAAGCTATTCTCTCTTTTCTATAACTAAGGTACATTGTGAAATGCAGATGTAGCATAACATCACACAAGCAGACAGAATGACCTTTGGGTGCTATTCAGATGGTTATTATTAGACTTTGCTTCCTTCTGGCTGGTACAGCCTTGCTTGTGCACATGGTGTTTTAGAATATTTCTACGTTTCAACTTCCCTTTCAGCTGGGCCCTGGCAGAGGAAAGGGGAGGTGAGTCTGATAACATCTGAATGAAGACAGATGTAGATCTGTAGAACTAAATTCCCCATCCTCTTGCCTTCTTTTCCATTGGGCATCTCTACTCGTTGCAATGAAGCTGCTGTAGTACTTTGCAGTAGTGCATGAATAGGATTGCTTCAAGTATAAGTTAGAGCTACTAAGATAAGTAAAGTTTTGGTGCTTAATTTTTTTAAAACACTCTAGCTTCACTTTAATGTGTACACTACCAACAGTGGAATAAAAAAGGCTTAACATACTGAATGGTAATATAAGCAGGTTTCAACAGAAGATGGTTCTGCAGTTTACCATATCCATGCCTTTCAAGTATGCTGCAATGACTTGTGTCCCTTGTTAGCCTGTGGCAAATGTGGAGTATAGTATTTACACTTAAATATCAGCAATTACAGATTTCAGAAACATAAGCTAAAACATTACCTCATGTTTACAGCTAGCTAATTAATAACATGTCACTGCTCTCATTTCTATCCTGCTGTTCCGCTGCTAGTTTGGACAGCGTTTCTCTGTCTCCCTTCATGACTGAAATGCTAACGAGATCTGATTACGTTTTCTGTCATTCACTATTGAAGCCTACAGTGGGATGATCTTGTCTGTGATAGTTGGGGTGATATAGGTGTACACATAATAAAACCAGTAGTTCTTATAGGCCTTCACTGCAATTTTCAGCCTGTATATAGCATTACTTTTCCAAACAGGCTTCCTCACTTTTACTGTGCATCATCATTTTAGCAGAGTAACTCAATGGTAACATATGCTATAACCAGCCAGCACCATTGGAAGTTTACTGCTTTATCAAATATTTTCTGTAACATTTATGCAATGGTAATAAAAGCAATACAGAAAATCTTAAAAAACCTCAGGTTTTATTTTTATTTTGTGTAACACTTCTGGAAGTACTGGTTTTAAAAAGTCATGCAGGATATTTATTTTCTTGATTGAAGCAAGTAAAGTAAAACAAAAAAAGGATATTTGATTTTGATTTATCTGGAGGGTTGGTTTGGTTGGGTTTTCTTTAACTTAAACAAGGAACTGTGACTGTTGATGTTTATTTAAGTACTATCTGAATTAGTGCAAAACTTCTCCCATGAAAGTAAAACCAGAATGTTAATCCTCCTAATGCACGATGCACGAAAAACAGTCATGCTCCTTAACTGAAGAAACAGATGAAGGGCCAAATCCTTGTGAAATGGTCAAACAACCTAGATACAGAAAGGGTCCTGATGTCTGTTTTGATGAAGCCAAACAGGTAAAATTGAACTTGTAAGACTTTAGGACTGTCTTTAAAAGCAATTGTAGAGCTGTTTTAGAAGAGCAGTGAAAACTACGTTTAAATGTACCTTGGTGCCTGGTAACCTATCTATCACTAAACATACTGTTCGCTATAGACCATAGCCACTCTATTTCAAGTATCCCATGATTAACATAAAATTAGCAGCTGCTTTCTTATCTGCCTTTCCTATAACCATTGCACTTTCACACATGATTTCCACTAAAAAAAAAAAACCCCTATCAGCGAGCATAAAACTGATGGTCTCTGTACAGTGAAATTCAGTTCTTCTATGGCTTTCACAAATAGACGATAAGCCTGGCTTAGAAGTAGTATTTTTATATTAGTGTTTCCAAATATTATTTAAGTTGTTGTTAAATGATTAAAAACATTATATCTGGTTTCGGATGTTGTTCCTCTTAGAAATTCTGCAAATGCGTATTGACCGTAGGTCATATTCTTAACAGGTATAAAAGTGCATTGCTTTACTGAAATCAGCAAAACTATGCTGTTTAGTACTCCTTGTATTGTATACATTACAGTTTTGAAGGAGAAAAATTGTAACTGTGCCACATATATAAATTATTTTGAATATACTCTCTGTCTTACCTTTCAAAATACTGTATGAAAGATAAAATGCTGAATTCAAATTGTTCAGAATAAATTTCAAGACAAAAAGTACTGAACAGGGAAGTACCTGCCATTATATAAAATAAATGTTTTTAAAATGCACTCGTAATGCCTCATCCCATTTCTGCAAAGGAAAGATTGTCCAAAACTAGTGCAGTTAGTTGGCTATAACTGCTGTATACCAAGTTTTGTTCCAGTATATTCTCTGCTTTTCTTTAATGAGGCACAATTACTGAGATGTCAGTAGTGTTAAAAAGTCCAGACAGTTGGTATTCAATGCATTTTTCTAGTAACCAAGTTTTATTTTAAAAAGGAAGTCTTACTGGCCAACAAAAGTTAAACAAAGTTGAAAAACCATCCAAAAGCTATTTGGCCATTGTAGATATTCCAAATCCTCCTGATACAATTGTGTGTGAAAGTACAACTCTTGCTCACTAGCTTGATGTGCTAATCAGTGTGTAAGTCATGTGTTTTGTAACAGTGGATTGTTTTGGTTAAGTTTATTTGCAAAATTTGCTGTGAATCTGTTGCTCTTGGGTGGATGCTTTCACATTAACTCTGCTAACTGCCAGCAATCTGCATGATATCTCATCTTGTATGTCTTTTTTTCTGTGTTTTCTTTCCTTTCCTCTACTTGCTACTTTGCCCGTTATTAATAGGATCAGCCTATATGCACAACGAGTCGTGCCTCTGCCATGACGTCTGCTCCTATCTTCATTTTTCTGCAAGTTTTCATGTGGTGTGGATGGTCAGTTACTTTCTCTAATTTTTGTTCTGTTCTTGGCTTAAAAAATTTTTTTACTTACTAAGCATACAAAAGAAAACAGAATGAAGTGAGTCCCAAAAGCAACAATCTGGAGCAAATTACTATTACAATATTAAGGGAAATTAAATATGAAAAAAACCCTGTCTGGAGCCTTATAAATCACAGTTACAGACACAAGGGCCCCTCCCATAGCAAATACAAAGACACAGGAACCTGTTGGGTTTATATGGTCGGTTCTTTGAGATTGCACATGTACCAACTGAGTCAGTGTCATTCCCTTCAAAACATTTTTCCCTTGTCCCTGTTAAAATGAAACAGAAGAAGAAATTTTTCTGCACAAACAAAGGTACAAAGTAATGAGAAGAGACTATAATACCTGTGAAAATAAAGCTGTACTTAGGGACAGCAAGGATGAGTGCTCTGTGTAAGAGTAAGTGTTGCTATTGAGAAGAATTAAGGATTTTTCACTGCATTCAAATTAACACAATGTTAATGATGGAAGGTAATAGTATGCATCAATTTGGTTAAACTATCAATCAGTAAAATCATATTTTTACTTTTTAATTTTTTGTAACCTAAACATATTCATTGCCTAATTACAGCAGAAGGTGTGTTTTTTCTTCTAATGAAATACATGGATACATAAGTCCTGCATGTTAACCTAGTGTAGACGCTGGGGTTCATAACAAAAGCCTTGCAATTTTAGACTGTGTTGCATTTGATGGTGTGAGAGTGTACACTGCTGTGCTAGTGACACATATGCAAGAGAACTGCTGATCTAAAGAGAATAAAATTCATGACCTTGTACACTGGGAGGGGCGGGATCTGATCAATATTATTCCTCGGAAAACCACTAGAGGGAGATACTCACATATCTATCAAAGTAAAGCCAACTGAGAGGAAGAAATGGAAGCTTAGAGGTAATTTTTCAGAGTTAGTGTAGTAAAATATTGACAATTGCAACAATTCAGAACACTGATTTTCTCAATAATTTATATTCTTTTTATAATTGGGGGAAGGTTCAATTAGTGAAATATTAGGGGAAAAAAAGCTTAAATTTCTGTTTAACAGCTGTATTTGAGGAATTTTGAAGTTTCCTATTCTGTATTTAAATGATCTAATTTCTAGGAAACACACGAACTTGCACAGCCATGGCTGAAGGTTGTAAGGAAGGGTGAAAGTCCCTTCCCCCAAGTCAGTGGTATTTCACATTAAAATCTAGAAGATTAACATCTCAGAAGATTAACATCTCATGTTCTTACTCATGCAATTTGCTCTGCAAGTAACCTTATTTTAATTAAAAAGGTACTGTCCAGTGTACATAAAACAGCAGAGACTCACCTTGAGCTGAATTCTGTATGTCCAAAATGGTCTTTCTGCTCAATAAAGCAAAACAAAATACTGAGAAACCCACAAAATACAATTTTAGCTGATAGACTTTTGTCAGCAGAAAGTTATAAAGATAATTTTGTTCATCCATCCTGTTTTTAATAACTTTGTGATTTTGGATATGGGTTCTCACGGGACATTAATCTGTGTAGTTTTATTAAAATCACTGAAGCCAACACAGATACAAACCAGCTGATCAGGTTCAATAACATAGTTGGTGGGTTTTTTTCATCAAGGATAACAAAATACTCTTTATCACCCCCTTGAGTAGCGTGCTTTTACTTTGTACATGCACACAGTTTTTGTTTCCCATGTCTGAGAGTAAAGAGAAGAACTCTACAAGTTTTTAGCCACTTCTGGGAATGTCTTATTTCCATCAGCTTCAAGGGATGTCAGTGGGAGCTTTGAAGGTGATTAGCAGCCCAGACAACTGTATCCCTGATCTGTGTGTGGGTAGCTGTACAGCTTTGACAGCTTTGTGTGGTAGTCCAGACAAAGGAGGGTAACACAAAATTTATGAAAGACCATGCATGCATTGGAACTTGAAATGACTCTTGAATAAAAGCAAAAGTGTTCTCCATGCAATATGAAGCATTTAAAATGTATGCTTATAGAAAGTATAACTTTGAGGTAACCAGTTGATACCAAAGGCCAGATTAGCAGCTCTTTGGCAGATACTGTTGTTTTATCCTTTTTATAGTCAGTGTAGCACAACGGGTTCTGATAAATGATTAAGGTTTTAGTACATTAAATAGTTACAGTGTACTGCTAAAGGAGAAACAAGTATGTTTATAAACTTAGACATGTATGTGTATATTTATGTCTTTATATTTCCATGTATGTCTTTAAAATTTTGGACTGGCACTGCCTTCGAGGAAATGTTGAGAGAGAGAGAGAGATCAATGAATAAGTGGGTTTGATACTTAACAATGAATATATGGGTTTATAAAAGCATTCATTTCCATTCTGCAAGTGCTGAATAATTTTCATAGTGTGTGATGTTGTAAAATAACCCTCTCTAGAGTTATCATAGTCAGGCATGACATGAAGGAGATGACATTTGGATTTGATGCTTCTCTACCTCAAGCATGCAAGGAAATTTGACATATGACTTATTAATGCAAGAAATTTCTGATACACTTCTGATGAAATGAAACTGGCTAAAGAGGATTCTTTCCAATTTCTTCAATTTTTTTTCCAATTCTTTCTCTCTTCAAAGTGAAATAATATACAGAATATTATTTTGAAGACAACAAAGAGAGGACATCCCCAACTGATCTGTTGGTTATTCAGGTTTTCGGTGTGACTAATGGAGTAGTGACTAATGTAATGGGCTGGAAAATTACAGTGAAATTGCTTAAAAATAGTTCAGTGTCTAATTGCAGTGGCAGAGGTAAAGATAAGATAAGGTAAAGATAAGATAAAATGATGCTATATAATTTGTTATAAGAAATTTCATAAGAAATCTCAAAAATAACATTTACAGGAAACAGTTGAGAAGTTTTCTTAAAGCTCAGGGATAGTGGAAGTGTTTGCAAAAAAGACATTTTGAAGACCATTCAAAACTAATGTTTTGCTCAGTCTGGTTCCAATTAAGGATGGGATCCCACTCATTTCCGTAAAACTCTTGATTTTTTGAATTTATGTAAATCAGCGTGTAATCAGACTTTCTCCTTTTTCTTTTTTTTTTTTTTACATTTCTTGTAATTTTCACAACAGTTAAAGCACACAAGAAAATTACAATGTGCAATGTTGGGGAGGAAACAGTAATTTAGATAAGATTTACTGTACCTTCTTTGCCACTACTATTTTTGTCTCTTAGGACACAAAAGAATAACTGATTCCAGAAAGAATATTTAGAAATTATTCTTGGCAGAACTGCTGGTTTACCACTGTAAATTGTTCTACAAACCTCAGAAATTCAATGTGACTTTGATCAATATGAGGTTAAAATCTCACCAACCTTGAAATATGTGTATAAACCTTGTATACCTTTGTGTAGTGCAGCTTAACTCTGTCATTCATAATAAAAAGATGTCTCTCCTGCATGAGGCTTCCAAGACATTCTCCACCATTGCAAAGTTGTGAATCCTTTAAAAACAGCTCTGTGTAGTCTTAGGAGAGAGTAAAACATATTACAATATTTCTTTTCAATCCAATAGGAATATTTAATGATTCCTAGTTTTACTTATTAAAAAATAATCCAGCCACCAAGCCAGGAAACATGAAATTAATTATTACTCTACCCTTAACTGGTTTAGTGGTGGTCTTGGTAGTGTTAGGTTAATGGTTGGACTTCATGGTCTTAAAGGTCTTTTCCAACCTAAACGATTTGATGATTGTATGATTCCATAGTGTAGCTGTTGAATGTAAAAGCAATGCATATAAATTGTGATGTAGTTTTTAAAAAAAAAAATCTCAAACAGCAAATAGAAATGGGCAACAGAATGGAGGGTTTTTTTCAAGTACATATAGTGGCAGGCCTAATTCATCAACATAATTTACCCAGTATTTGGTCTAATGCAGAAGTGACATGAAAGCTGAGTATTGTATAATTCTATATGTGGATGTCCATCTATTCTGTATCCATACTGGATGCCATTTTCACTACAATGATGTTTTCCCCTTCCTATTAAGCACAATTTTCTTTAAGACCTTCAATTTACTTCTTACTTACTCTCCAAACATCTCCCCTCTGTTGGAAAATTTTAAACCTCGTGCTTTACTTTAGACTAGTTCTTCAACGATGACTCTTCTAAGTAATTTCAGTGATAAGAATCTTAAATACCACGAGGTAAGACTGAGTACTATTCACTGAATTCATGTGAGAAAAAACCTTTACTGATAATTCTGTTCCTGATGGTACTCACTGTGAGAAAGAAGCAACAGGGTTATTTTTAGGTGTTTTGAATAGAAATAAAGCTACATGACAAGACACAATGCAGATGCAAAAAGTGACAGAGCCAAACTAAATAAACGAGAAAGTTCAGTGCATCTTCAAATCTTAGCATCCTACTCCAAATCTGGTACAGCAGAGTTCACTTATGACTGACTTGTTGACCGGAAACCTTAGGAATTTTGAACTTGTAGAGTGCAATCAACTAAAAAAAAACCTAAGCCAGAATTATAGAACTAAATTATAAAGCTAACAGATGACAGACATGTCTGAAAATGGCTACTATTGATAAAGAATGGCAGCTAACGTGAGCTATTTGCTTTAGGACAGAATGATTTTTTTTTTTCCCCTCTTTTTTTTCTGAAGAACTTGAATGCTGGTTTTCATTTTGTTTGGTTTTTTTACACTCACATTTCTAAAGGAGACTGTTGGTGAATGCTATAATTCCTGATGACGTATTGAGTCTAATTTGTCTGCTTTATCTGATTTTCCATATATTTATTCCAAACTGATTCTGATTCCTGACCTCTCTGCTTTAAAGAATGCATTGAGTGTGGTAGGAATCTCGTTAAAGTCTTCACCCCTTAAAACTGACACAAAGAACTCATTGAAGTCCTTTGCTATGCCCTGTAATCACCAAGTTCCCTCTTTACACGTCTGTTATCAAGCAGTTGCCCTAACTCCATATTTGGCTTCATGCTTTTGATTTCTTCAAAACTTTCTACTATCATTTTCAGCATATTTTGCAGGGAGGTCATAAAAAATTCTTTATCAGCCCTCCTAATTCCCTGTTTATATCTAATCTGCCATTTTTATGTGCTTTCCTGTTCTTGCCCATTTGAGTAAACTTGATTTCTTAAATACTGACCTTTTCCCTATGACAGTGTACTTAATTTCCCTACTGATTCATGTAGGGGTATTTCTCTGGGGTTTTGGGTTTGGTTTGTCATTTGGTTTTTTGGTTGTTTTTTTGAGGGGTGGTGTTTTTTCATTTGTTTTGGGGTTGTTTTTTGGGGGGAGGGGGTGAATGGTTGGTTGTTCTAATTGTGGCATTCATTTTACCTAGATATTTAATGCAATATTTCTAAATATTTTTCTAGATCCTTGTGAAGAACTCACTTTTTGAGATGATGCTTCTAGTTTTTTTCCTGCTTTCTGTTTTTGTTTGTTTGTTCAGGTTTTCTTTCTGTTTTCTTGGTTTTGGGGTTGTTTGGGTTTTTTTAACTGCTTTTGGTAATTTTCACGTAGTTCCCTTTCTTGAAATTGGTATCTGTTGATTTGGATTTGTTCGGCCTGATCTCTCACTCAACAATGCTAAATCCTATTGCACTGTGGTCTACAGAGCTACTAGAGCTGTACAGAGCAGCTCTCTACTAATAATTTTGAAGAGCGCCCCATGCACCACTAAAGATTCAAAGACTGATTGTTCCAAAGGCAGTCATTTGTCATATCCAAAAATGTGATCTCTACATCTCTTTTTTTATAAGGTATCAATCCTGTCTATATGTGGCTTCTCTAATCTCACATAACATTTCATGATTGATATTGTCACTTTGATCAGGTGGCCAGCAGTGCAATCCTAGTATTACATATTTATTATTAGACTCTGAAATTTCTTAGCCGTGGAGATTCCATCACACTTTCCTTTTCCTGTAATACTTGTAGGCTATTACACTTTGTATTATCCTTTACATACTACCCTTCTGCTGTATGCCCTACACTACCATTCTCACAAAGTTGGTAGCCTGACAATGCTCTGTCCTACTGATTATTCTCCTTCCACCAGGTTTCTGATATGTGTGTTATTTTGGGATGGCTCATCAATGACTTGTCTTCATTACTCCATATTAATTTTATGTTGCTAGCATTGGTGTAGAAGCAGTTGAAAGATTTGCTTAAAGATGTGCCAGTAAATTAAAAGTGTTTTAATGACCTTTCCTTATTTATCCTAATTGTACTTTTTATCCTCAACCCCCCAGCCTTTTCTGAGGCACATTGAATATTAATTACATATGCCTCAGTGGCATGTCAGTGTGAACTGGGAGCTGTTCCATGCTCATTAGCTTTTTCCTCTCCTTTCTGTTCTAAAACTTTTTTAATTTCGGTGCCAGCAGCCGGGCTTTGTTACTGTTAAGGTGCAGTCTGTCCTTCCCTGCACGTTCCTCCTGTCCAAGAAATTTCCTCAATTCCTAATATACCTAATTCCCTTCCCACCTACACTGTTGCCTTGTCCTTGGAGGCTTGGGGTCTCTTGGAAAATGGAAAGTGTCTTTTTATACTATAAGTACAGAATATAGTGAAAACAAGAAGACGACCAAATATTTTCAGCTTTCAGAGCTACCCATGAATCTCAGACTCAGTGGACAGAGCAGTGCAGGGGATGGCTGGAACATTGTCCTGGTGTTTTAGGCAGCTAAACATAGGTTGTATCAGTCCTGAGAAACAAAAAGGTAAAGATGTTATAGACTCCAGAAGAGGTATCAAATGTATTTCAGCCAGAGTAATGAGTAAGTCCATAATGTGAAAGATATTATGCATTATAGCCAAAGAGGGACTAAATAACAGCAACTAATGGTAAAGAATGAGGAAAAGAGGTGTGATTGCTCTGTGGCATAATGCTTGGGTCCACTGATGCATGACAGAGCAGTGCAGCTCAGAGCGAGCCCTCAAACTCGAGGGTGTCTTCTCTACAGATTGCACCAAGAATGTACAAAAAGCCAATAGAAAAGTTGGTTCTCATACTTGAATACAGTGCCAGCGACAGAGAAAGGATTTTCATTCTCTTTGATCATATCTTCACCTGCAGAGCATATTCCTTTTAATATGAGATCATGTTGATGAAATGGACATGAACATATTCTGGTATTTGTTTTCTAATATGGAAAAGTTGTCTGTTCTTCCATCTTTCTTCACAACAAAGCGATACTCAAAATGTCCAAGATGATGTAATTTTAAGGAGTATAGATGTAGTTTACTGGGGCCCCCAGGTATATCCCATAGCATTTCTTGTTTGATTGCGTTAGTGTCCCATTATCCCATCTAGTTCATAAGTGACTGCAGTAAGCCTTGTAAGTATTTAAACCTCCCATGCTTATAGTTAATGTAGTAATGCCTCTCTTTGTATCAAAAATCAGACAAACTTCCAGGAATTATTTTGCTGTTATTTTAGGCAAAAGAACATCTATAAGACCAAAAAGGATGCCTCAAGTATAGTTCAAAATGTTGACGACTAAAATGTAAAATACTTTTCAGGAAATTTAATTGTAATTAATGTTAAATTATTTCTTATTTTCTTGTCAACAGGAAGATTCAGCCGACTGCGGTGGTGTCTCTGGTCTGAGTCCATCACTGTGGTCTATGGTAGGAATTCAGTTCATCCTGCTTTGGCTGTTATCTGGCAGCAGACACTGCCAGTTATGACCTTGCTAAACCAAAACCTGCATAACTTAATCAAGACCTGGCCAAAACGATAGCCTCAGTTTCATTTTAAAAAGGGTCAGCTATTCAGACAGCAGCAGAACAGCAGTGCTTGTGTCTGGTTATCACTCGTTGTGAGACTCAAAAAGGCACCCACGGTGGCTGCATGTTGGAGTGTCGGATCCTTAAACGTGTGTGAATGCTGCATCATCTATGCCATCCGAACATAATTCTGTATGTGCTCCATTGGGGAATCTAAGATTATTATTTTTTTGTTTGTTTGTTTGTTCTTGTAATCTTGATGACTTCATGTAAAAGGGCTCCCCTGACAATAGCTTATGCATATGATTTTCATTTCTTTTAAGCTTTGGATATCTTGAAGATTTATATTCTTCTACATGAACAGTTATTTTAAAAAAAAAAGAAAACATAATCCCTAGTATACATTACTAGCACCATGATGGCTGCTTTGAACATCAGTTTTGTCCAGACTAGTTGAGTAAAAAGAAAATATTGGCTAATCTTCATCAGAAGTTCAAAATGAATCATGTAGCCAGCTAAGTTTTGGTAGGTTGATAAATTGTTAGTTGGAAGGAAGGAAGGAAAGAAGGAAGGAAGGAAAGAAGGAAGGAAGGAAACTTCTGGTTTTAAAAATATAAAGGTGCTTGAGAGTTTAACTAAAAAGTGATTCTCATCTTAAACTTGGTGTCATTTTCTGTCAGAAAAATGTTAATTTCCATGTAATAGTCACCTCCTTTTCACAATGCAGTTATATATAAAGCTAGTGGTATCCTTCAAAAGCTCAAACAAAAATGCTTGTGAATAAAAAATGTCTTTGTGATATTTGAACATTGGTTTCCAAAGGTATTTTGCATGATGATGATGCTATGTTACTGTTTTTCAGTTTGTTTTCTTTGATGGTAGAGTATAGTCCATTGAAAAGGTAACTGAGTGATTCTTTTATTGTGTGAGAGACTGAACATTGCAATGTGTTGCAATCAAATCATCTTATATTATATTATGAAACAGAGCTCTGAATATACTGTGCAATGAAAAAGCTGAGAAAATAGGGTAAATTTAGCTATCGTAACAAAAGGGTTGAGTTGGATTTTTTACAGAATAGTGATCTCACATGAAAACCTGTGTACAGCTATTTTAAGTACATAAAAATCAGATTTAACACATTTATTTTTGGAAGTATATGTTCTCCAAGGTTCATATCAGGTTCCCCCTTTGCTTCCTTCATATAAAAACACCCATAATATTAAAACGTCTGCTGTTGCTATTTATTATTGAAAATAGCTTATTTAACAGCAAAATGTCCTGGTTTTTGAGATTAGAAAAAATCTAAACAAATGGGGAGCCTTGAATCTATATGTATGCACATTGATACTTGATTGTGAATAATAATTTTAGAAGTTGTTTTTATACAACCTCATTGGTGATACAGATTGGTGCCGTAAATTACAATATTACAGTGTAGCATAGTGTTGGTGCAAAATATGATTTGCGCTTTTTTCCTAGTTTTCAGAACTAGACAGTATTGCAAGACAGCTAAATCAATGAATGTGCGACTCTGCTGGTATTGTACAATTCTGCTAACAACTGCAATATGCAAATATTAACATGGCACAATACACTAGTTTGTTCAAAAAATACGAAAATGCAAAGCATTGGTATGTATATGCTGGCAATTGATTGACATAATTTTGATCATGCCAAAAGCTTAAAGACGTAATTGGGCATGCATTAATTTCCTATGAAAACTGAAGAAGCTACTGAAAGCCATGGCATGGCTTAAAAGATCAGATGTCTACTGTAGTTGTACCCATGGCTGGTTCGTTGTTTTTCTCATGTACCTTGGCTCCGGCTATGTATTTTCTCCTGTTTGGGAATACAGTGAGTGGAAAAAAATAAAACCTGACCTTTTGTTCAGTGATCAGATTTAGCTTTTTAAAAAAAATATCTCTAGTAAAGTAATGGGGTTAAAAGTATAGTTAACTGTGTTGGATGACTTCAGGTCCTGCTCAGGGAAGGTGAGCTAATTTTGATAGTGTGGGTGAAGATAATCTTGGAACTCTTCCTTCCAGTCATATTACTGCACTTCTCTTCACCCTATCACCAGTTACCACCTGATAAAAAATAGGTTTGAGTCTTTCTAATGCTGAGACTGCATCCTGTATTTTTCCTTAACATGGTCAATTGGAATTTTATGGGAGGAACAAGTTTTGTAGGATTAGGCCAATACTTACTACACTCATAGCTTTTACTCTAAGATTACTTAAAGTACATATTAGTTTGCATTTTGTTCTTTTAATTTCTTGAAAGATGTCAGTATATTAAGTTCTCTATAGTTTTCACTTAGCTTCCCAAAAGAAACCCTTCATGGAAAAGTTACATTATTTAACCTTTTGCAATAATTTGCTTACACTGGTAGGCCATGTTTTGAGTTACTTAATAAAAGTTTGATTAGAGTCTGTAGGCAGAAAGAAAGATGCCACAAAGCCATGCTGCCGCAGAAAACAACCATAGCTTTTGCTCTCATCCCACTTCCCTTAGAGTGCTCAAATAGAAAAGGAGGGAGAAGCCCATGCTGTGCAGACACATTAGCCTTCTTGGGTTATCCAGAGAGGGAAATGTCCTTTGTTCCTCTCTTTTGCCCCTCTATATGACCTGAAGAAACATGTTTGTGTATAAACACTTAGCCTTCCAGCCATTATACCCATCTGATAGAAAACTCAGGATCTGGCTCTCCCAGAAGGGCTTATTACTGTCCCCATAGAACTCAATACTTTAAAAAGGAAAAAATGAAATTTTGGCTTCTTTTTATAGAAAGCAATATGTATTTTGATTATATCCATGTGATGGTCAAGATTTTTTAAAATGCACTACCTAGATATCTGCAAATTATAAAACACAGATAGAAAAATGCAATGTGAACTTTAGCTATCTCAAAATGTGAATACCAGTCTGTTAGAAATGACTTGCATGAATAAATACATGTTCTCATGCAGAAGAGTATCCTTACTCTCACATAATGCATGATAGTCATCTTCTCTTGTCTGTGGGAGAAGAAACTTGATCCTAGGCTTTAAATTGAGACATTTTCAAATTACAGTATGTTGTAAAAAGTGGGTTTTTTTTAAAAGCCAGATAAAAAGCTCTGTTGATATTTGCTCAGATCCTTTCAATAGCACTAAGGGAACTGTTGGGACTGTTTCAGTTTACACAGAAGTCATGCAGCCTATTGTATGTCTGACAAATAACCACCATTAAAGTAGTTACAGCATGTTACTGTGCAAAACATGATCTGAGGACTTAACATGAAAGGTTTCTTTCTAGTTTTTCATTTAAAAAACCAGCATTACTGCCAAAACACTGACCGTGGTCCATATTTTTTAACAAGTTTTTAACATGACATAGCAGGTTTGATTGACAAGATTTTTAGGTCCTATACCTTTAAGACTTTAGTATGATCTTTTTCATGTTTCTAATGCTTGAGGCTTTACTGCTTAACTTGACAAAAAACAGTGTTGCTGCCATTTGTAAGTTTTCCTATAATATTCCTTTTACTAACTTAAAAACTGGCCTTACCGGGTTCAAATAGGCGGTATCCCTTTTAAGTGACCTTTGCAACCCAAGTGTTACTTGCTGTGGTTTTTCGGTATCACTGAAGAGACATTAAGACCTTTTGTTCCCATTAACAGTTAAGCTCAGAAAGCATGTTTAGTATGTCTTAATTTCAAAACATAACTTCAGTCCCACTGGTCCTAAAAATTCAAATGCTAGCACACTGGTTATTAAGAAGTATATTAATGCCTACAAGGCACTGCAACACACTTGGGTGTTTTTGGAATGTTGCCTGAAGGTGAAATCTTAATAACTCCTTCCTTAGGATATATTTTACCCTAGCTTCATCAGACATCCAAGCCTTTAACAAAGGTCAGATTTATTAATTTTTGTTCATACCACAATGTTAATATTGTTAATACTCATTGTACACTACTGTAAAAAGATTAAAACAAAGTGTCTGAAAACAATTCAAGAGTTTTGAAAAGTTAGCCTCACCCTCTTCCCAGCTAGTTGCATCTGTCCTGTTTATGGTTTAAAATAAAAACATCATCTTGAAGAAATAATTTCACTGAGGCTAAAGGGATACTGTCTTGTTCAGATGCCATGAAATTGCGATGTGATCTGACAAAGCTGTCTTCTCTTCTTGTGTTGTATGGAATGTCTGGACCATGCTTTCTGGGATATTTTTATTGAAATGCTCAGTGTGCGTTTCTGCAAAAAAAGGCTTGATTGCTCTAACAAGGCAAGCAGGTCTTTCTCCCTTTTCTTGTGTTCTCTTGACACTTTTGTGGAACTTGACAAGCCTGGAAAAATAATTTTTTGTAAAAATTTGTACAATAATGTTATAAAAAGTTTATAATCCTGGAACTGTTGTGTTAATTCTTGTGCAAAAACAGTATATTCAGAATAAAAGTTTATCATTTAAAATCAACAACTACTTTGTTCACTCTGTATAATAAAAACATGTAAATAAGAGCCTACATAATTTGTTATATAATACTTCTGAGTTTGCTATATAATTGCACCCAAGTATCTGCAAGAGAGAGATTTTCCAATGTGGAGACAGTGACTGAACCCACTTCTTATTGGGGTTCAAAGGAGGATGTGCAGCAAACCCTCATTTCTGCTTCATTTGCAGTTGTGAAAATTTTGAAAAAGCTAAAAAAAATAGTAACCAACAAAAACTGAGAGTCTGTAAAGCACTCAGTAAAATAATAGTCTGTAAAGCATCTGAAGTAGCCCCGTTGTTCTGAACAATAGCTTTTGGAAGGATTGTCATTTACTAACTTGTTAACATTGAAGTCCAAGGGTTCATTCACATGAAGCAGCAGAATAAAATCAGATGGCTTAGATGGGTGCTGCCCAAGTTGTTGCCCGACGTCTGACAAAGATTGGCTGCATGATTTATGAATCAGCTTCTGCACTGCTGCCGTTCTCAGCTAAGCATTAAATTCAAAGTGGATCTATGTACCGAAGGATCTACCTTAATAAACAGGCTGGAGATGTTCAGGAGTAGCTTCACTGGGTTTTCAGGCTTAGGGTGGTGGCACTGGCAATCTCTGTGAGAAGGGCAGGGCAGATGCCTGCAAGTGGTAACTGCTTTAGAAGCCTGATTTTAATCCTTGACTGAGTATGTGTCAAAGCCCAAAGAGAATGGCAGTTGTAAATTACTGCTGGATTTACCGAATCCCTGTGGAGTCAGATAAGAAAGTAAGAAATCAAATGCAGATTCTAATGCTGCAAAGTAACAGATCGCCCATGTGGAAATGCTAAAAGGCAGCACATGACACTGCACATCAACATCCAGAGATTACTGGCCTCAACTAGATTAAACATCGCCGCC